CGTGAGCAAGCGAACTACGGCGGCCGAGAGGGCGGGCGCTCTGCGCACGCGCGCCGCGAACCCTGCGGGACGGCCCCGCCCCCGTGCGGGGGCGAGGCGGAGGCAGCGCGGGCAGCGCTTGGGCTGCGTCCTGGAGTCGCAAGGGAGCTGGTCGGTGCAGAAGGCTCGAGACCCACGAGCACGGACATTATCTGCCCCCTGATGCGCCGCGATAGCAAGCACACACCACCGATGTGAAATAGTTTTGAGAAAGGCTGTTATAGTCAAAAGGCTTTCCCTGGAAAAAAAATTTTAGATGGGATAATGGTACTATCTATCGTTAACAAGAAAAAGGAGAAAGTTACTAATTTTAGAAATACACATCGAAATGGTTATAGATGAGATATGTTATCCGGCATTTGCTGCAACGTAATTGGGTGGGGTTCAGATGTACTGGTCGGAGTTAATCATTGTTGAAATCTGGTGCCAAGCACACGGAGGCTTTATTACACCTTTCCATTTCTATATGTTTGAGATCTTCCACAGTGAGCTGTTTAAATGCCTGCACCACAATATACTTCAAAAGCATCATGCTAACGGAAAGAAGCCAGATGCTAAAGGCTATGTGCTGGTAAAAACTAAATTTAGGGAAAGAAACCAGATCAGTGGTTGCCAGGAGTTGCATTTAGGGGGTAGGAATCGACAACAAAAGGGTGTCAAGAACTTTTTAGAGTGAGGGAAATGCTGTTTTATGTCAAGCATGATGGTTACATGACTGTATACATTTGTCAAAACTCAAAATTGTATATACCTAGGAAAGGTGAATTTTACTGTATTCACCCAACTTCTTAAAACTGCAAGTGCAAAAACACAATTTCAGGATTTATACCATGGTGTACAAAGAAAATGTATGAAGCTGGGCTCAGTGGCTCAGCCTGTAATCCCGCGCCTTTGGGGGGCTGAGGTGAGTGGATTGCCTGAACCCGCGGGTTCGAGACCCGCCTGGGCAGCGAGACCTCATGTCTACAATAAATCAAAAAATCAGCCGGGCGTGGTAGCGCGTGCCTGTAATTCCAGCTACTTGGAAGGCTGAGGCAGAAGGATCGCCGGAGCCCAGCAGGTCGAGGCTGCGGTGGCCGGGAGTGGCCACTGCACTCCAGTCTGGGCAACAGTGAGACTCCAACTCAAAAAAAAAAAAAAAAAAAAGAAAATGTATGGTTTCAAGGACCTACACCTCAATGGAGGAAGCACTTGTCTTGGGATGTCTGACTACAGCCTCAGTGAATAAAAACCAGCGTACTCCTGGTTTATCACACACTGCCAACCCGACAGCTTTGTAAAAGGCTCTATGAAGTCTGACCTTGGTGTTTATGTCAGGTCTACAAGAGATTAGATGTCTTGGCAGACATGTACTATTATTTTAACTAATGTTTCACAAGATGTATTTTTGAACTATTGCAAGAAATAGACTTCAAAATTCTTATTCTTGCTAACAAAGCAAGATATCCTCCCACAATTACTGGCCTCTCCCCAACCTCAGTCATCGGTTTGCCTCATAAGACAACTTATTACAGTCTCTTGATCAAAGTGTGATTGCAACATGGAGGGTTTCTGTTTGAAGAGAATCTTTTAGCACCTTAAGTGTTGTTGCCAAAGGGGATAGTGTACAGACAATTCTGGAATCCCAGAAGCAATTTATCATCAAACTCACCACTGACATTACTGTGGAGTACTTGGAACAACATAATCAAAGACCAGGTGCACGTGTGAAGTATCTGATTTAATTCATAATTCTGTAGGGTTTGGACATCCTGACAAACTGGCATAAATCATAAAGTTGTGATACAATTTGTATTTAAGGAAGTACAGAATGAAGACGTTGACAACAGTTTCAGTCTCACACAAAAGACTTATCTGTTCAAGACTTACAATCGGCAGCCATGAGACAAGTAGAAACTGCAGATTATGTCAATGGTAGTGAAGAGGAACAGGAGAACAAGTCAGGGCCAAAAGACAGGTGGTAATTGACATGTGCCAGTTCCTTCTACATAAGATATGAGACTAGCAGCTAGTTTACAAAAACACGGTGGTCCTGTTGCTAAGAGATCCTTCACATGAAGCCAAGTTAGCCTGAGAGGGTGTCTGCCACCTTGACTGTTTTTCTGCTTGGCCTCTTTGTAACATAGGAGTGACTCTGGCAGGATAAAGCATCACTTTTCATGAGCTGCATCAAGAAAGAAGTTGGATCAGCAGGGGCCTCAACATAGCTTGCTGGTCAAAGGACATCTTTCGGTCACCTCTACAAAGGTTAGGAAAGTGGGCAGTCACTTTGGGAACCAAATCCAAAAAAAAGACCGCCGAATAACAAAAAAAAAAAAACGCATTTCACCAACAGAAAGATGAAAAGTGCTGGTAATTTCTGAGTATTGTTTCTAGGGACATTTCCATCTGTGTGGTCATTTTATGTAATTAGGTGCAGTTGGCCTTCCCTTTATTTATCTATTTATGAGTCAGAATCTCACTCTGCCGCCCAGGTGGGAATGCAGTGGCATGCTCACAGCCACCACAACCTCAACCTGGACTCAGATGATGCTTCCGCCTCAGCCTTCCAAGTAGCTGGAACTACAGGCATGCAGCACCACAGCCAGCTGATTGTTTTTATTTATTGTAGAGATAAGGTCTTGCCAAGTTGCCCAGGCTGGTCTCAAACCTGTGGGCTCAGGCAGTCCTCTCACTTCGGCCTCCCAAAGTGCTGGGATTATAGGTGTGAGCCACCATGCCAGTTTTTAAAACTATCCAGTGAGTAGAAATATGCAATTTCTCCAGTCACAGAGGTAAGGAGTGGACTTTGGTCTACCCTACCCACTCACTTCTCAAAGGACCATCCTCCATGCTAGATCTGTTTACTACTCATAGTCAAGGAACAGTATCCCTCCTACGGGGTGCTCTAAACTACTGCATAAAACACCGTCTCAGGAAACAATAAGAGGCTGAGCCTACAACCTCTTTTGTGGCATCTTTATTTTTCTACCTGGGATGTGAACAATATGAATATGGGTCAGAAAAATCAGCTGCACTGAAACACTTCAACCAACTGTAAAACGGAGGGAGAGCAGACAAGGAGGGGGTGAGGGTGGCAATTCCAGACCAGCTATTCTCAAAGGGTTTGTGCCCCAAGTCTACAACCAGAGGGTGCTCTGAGAAGGGAGGGGCAGGACCATGCAATATCGGCTCTGGTAAGGAGGGACAACAAGGAACAGTAACAACAGGGGTTGCAGCTGAGCATGAGTTTATTGGATTCTGGCCTCACGCTGTTGCTTGATGAAGTTGATCAGCCCATTGGTAGAAGCATCGTGAGAGGTCACTGGAGCACTGCCATCAAGCTCAGGCTCAATTTTCTTAGCCAGCTGCTTTCCCAGCTCCACTCTGCCACGAAGGGGAGGAAGAATGGTATGAAGAAGGCTCTAGCATGCTAGTGAAATCCCTGAGCCAACCATAGAAACTCCCCACCCTCCCCTAAGTCAGCAACTCACCCCCACTGGTCAAAGCTGTTGATGTCCCAGATGATGCCCTGAACGAAGATCTTGTGTTCGTACATGGCTGCAGAGGGGGCAGACGGTGCACGTTAGGGCTCTCTACCAGCCCAGTCCAACCAACCCCAAGTCAGTATTACCCCACTCACTCACCAATCAAGGCTCCAAGAATGAATGGTGTGAGCTTGGTGAATACAATAGAGTTGGTTGGGCGATTTCCTTCAAAGACCTTCAGAAAACACCAACAAATGTCCTCAAGTTAGTCCTGATCCCCAAACCCCAAGAAAGGAAGCCCAGAAACTGAAATGCAGGTCTATGAGGACAGATCTTCTCAATGAATAGGACAAGCCATGTACGCCACAAGCCTCTGGACTGGTGTCACAACTTCATCCCTCCAGCTCCAGCATTCCACCCGAAAACCAACCCCAGGAGAAGTGCTGACCTTGTGTGGCAACAGCTTCTCAAGGTCTTCTGGACTCTTTCCCGCGGCCTGGAGCTCCTTTCGGGCCTCCTCTGTAGATTTCCCCCTCATCAGGGCCTCTGTCTGGGCCAAGAAGTTGGCTAGGAGGATCTGACAAGAAAGACATCAGTTATGCTTGAAAGCACTGTCTGGACTTCAAGCAGAGGGCCAAGACCGCCTGGCACTTCACAAGTGGGGTTAGTCCCAGCCTGGGCCACTCACTGCATGGCTCAGTTAGAATAAGGGTAGACAGAAAGGCATTTCTGATGACACCAGAAGGCAGGTAACAATGATAACTATAAGGACCAACATTTCTCTTTTAAGATCCCAAGGAGAAAAGGTATATTTCTCTTTTCTTTTCTTTTTTTTTTTGAGTTGGAGTCTCACTGTCGCCCACACTGGAGGTCAGTGGCATGCTCCTGGCCCCCGCAGCCACAACCTGCAGGCTTAGGCGATCCTTCTGCCTCAGCCTTCCAAGTAGCTGGAACTGCAGGCATGCGCCACCATGCCCGGTTAAATATTTCTCTTTTTAGCTGAGCCTCAGTTTCCTTAAGTCACAGTGCTGGATCACAGAACTATAGAGGAAGGGAATCAGAATTAAATCCCAGGTCACTGACTCAAAAGCTTGTGCCACATTAACCTTCTACTGCTCTGCACACCCAAGGCAAGGCATAATACTCTTCAAGGACTTTGTTGGGTTGTGAATTGGATGAATTTTTTATTTGCTGCTGTGATAGACAAGATCTTGGCTCCATTTTCTTTGTCCCCTATTATGCCTGTGTATGTTATACTACACAGCAAAAGGGACTTTACACACAGGCAGATATTCCTGGATTAATCTAGTAGGCCAAATCTAACCACACCGGCTCTTAAGAAGAGGAAGGTGGATGAGTCAGTAAGGAGATGTGACAGAAATGGCAGGAGAGAATCAAAGCTTGAGAAAGATTCAATCTGCCCGTGCTCGTTCTGCTCATGATGTCAGAAACCAGGGAAGGCAGGTGACTTCTAGAAGATGAGCACGACCCTCACTCAGTCCACAATAAGAAAACTGAGCCTTGGTCCTACAACCACATGGAAACGAATTTTGCCAATCACCTGAATGAGCAAGGAAAAGGATTTTCCCCTAGTCTTCAGAGAGAAACAAAGTTCTACTAACACCTTTATTTCAGTCCATGAGACTCTAAGCAGAAACACAGCAGAGCCTGCTGGACATCTAACCTAACGAAAGTCTGAGATAATAAAATGAGGGTGGTTTTAACCCACTAAGTTTATGGTAATTCATGATAGACAGAAAACTAATGTAACCAGCCGGGGGCAGTGGCTCACACCTGTAATCCCAGCACTTTGGGAGGCCAAGGCGAGAGAACTGCTTGAGTCCTGGAGTTCAAGATCAGCCTGGGCAACATAGCAAGACCTCGTCTTAATTAAAAAATTAGCTGCTGGTCAGGCACGGTGGCTCAGCCTGTAATCCCAGCACTTTGGGAGGCCGAGGCGAGAGGACTGCCTGAGCCCAGGGGTTCGAGACCAGCCTGGGCAACTTGGTGAGACCTCATCTCTACAATAAATCACAAAAACTAGCTGGGTGTGGTGGCATGCGTCTGTAGTTCTAGCTACTTGGAAGGCTGAGGCGGAAGGATTGTCTAAGTCCAGCAGGTCAAGGCTGCAGTGGCCGTGAGCGTGCCATTGCACTCCAGTCTGGGTGACAAAGAGTGAAACTCCAACTCAAAACAAAACAAAACAAACAAACAAAAAGAGGTCTGGGTGTAATGTGAGCCTAAGGAAAGTATGAGCAGGGTCCAGATGGGGGCTCTTACCTTGTGATGCAATCCCTTCCGTATTGGGTGCTGGGTCTGGACAGGGATGAGGAAGTCACATGGTATCATCTTGGTGCCTGTGAAGGATACTCTGGTCACCCACATGACCCTAGCCCATGGGAGCTACCCATATGGCCGAAAGGAGAGCCCCAGCCTCAGCAAAAAGTCTCTGCTGATAGAGCTCTTACTCCCTCAGCCCCCGCCCAGCACAACCCTGCCCAGGCCAGATGGGTCCTACCTTGATGGATGAGCTGGTAGAAAGCATGCTGGCCATTGGTCCCTGGCTCCCCCCACACAATGGGACCCGTCTGGTGGTCCACCCGGGTGCCGGATTTTGTTATGTACTTCCCGTTGGACTCCATGTCACCCTGGAGCAGGGACAGAAATCAGCCCTCTGCCGGCAAGTCTTGACCCTCCATGCACCATGCCCAAGTCTTGCCTGGGATGCTCCAGGCACACCCGCCCTGCCCTGGCCCTGTGAGGTAGACTTGCACTTGGGTGTCCACAGGCATGATCCTCTTCCTTCTGACACCTGTGAGTACCCAGCCTCCCAAGCTTTCTGGCTTACACTACTCTGTTAGAAAGAACTATGACCAGAATAGGTAGGTCTGGAGGTCAGGCAAAGACCTCCCTTAAAAAAAAAAAAATTCAGTCACAAAATCTTCAACTCACCTCTTAAGGGAGAGGGAGGCTAGGGTCCAGAGTATGCAGCCTTTGAGGGCTGTCACCTCAACTAGACACTAAGCTTTGGGTGCCTCCCTGAGGTAGCCAGGACTTGAAGAGCCTCGGCCCCTCCTTCAATCATAGGATTCACCTTCAGGTGCTGATGAAGTCTGATGAAGCTCCTGCCCAAAGGAGCTCAAGGGCTGCAGAGCAGAGAGCAGGTTTGTACGAAACACAAGCAGGGACAGATGTGTAACAGCTTTCCAGAACAAAATCTCACTAGGAGAGGGGCTGCTAAGGCTCTGAAGGCTCTAGAGATTACAGAGGGAAGAGAGCTGTGTAGGCCCAAGGAGGCAGCACAGACTGGATATAGACTTGCTTTTCTGAAGGAATAAAGGCGGTGCAGTCCGTTGGGAGGTATGGTAGACATGCAAAGTGATGTCCAAGAAAGATATGACCCCAGCTGAGACACATTCTCTGAGACAAGCCAAGATCCAGCTGGCTAGGGCACCAGTCATGGTGGCCAAATTCAGCTGACACTCGGGTAGAATAGACACAAAGTCACCATGAGATGGGAGCAGAGGTCATCTTGACCATGAGCAAGGGCAATAGGGCAAAGAGCTCCCGGAGAGGCTAGAACCTGAGCTCCTGGACCTTCCAGTCTGCCAAAAGTTGACTTCAAGGACTAGCTTGGCAGCTGGTACCTGCTGGAAGTAGGCTGCAAAGCGGTGAAGGTACTGGTCATAGGGCAGCATGGCGTGCGTCTCACATCCGAAGCAGTTGATGTACCAGATACCCAGCAGAGCCAGCAGGACGGGAGCATTCTTTTCCAGGGGTGCTGTGCGGAAGTGCTGGTCCTGAAACAAGAACAGAGTGGGAAGAAGATGAGCAGCTGCCTGGGGAGTGGCAGGCTAGAGAGGAGAGAGCAGGACAAGCACATGTCTCTGGCCAGCACTTGGCAGAGAACACAAGCCTCAGTACTTACCATCCAGTGAGCCCCCGAGAGCAGCTGCTCAAAGTTGTCAAAACCTGTGACACAAAAACAGAGTCAACACAAGTGGCTGCACCCTGTGCCCTCTGGGCAGTGTGTACAGCTTCTTCTGGAACCAGAGAAGGCTGCATGAAAAGTCAGAAGAAATGATGTGGGAGAACTTAGGACTGCAGAAAGACTCTCTAATCGAAGTCAGCCACAAGGGCAGGGATCTAACTCTACTCAGGATGGAGGCCAACGAGATTGCAGTTGTGAAGGGCAGAGAAAAGGGCCAACATGAAAACTCAAAGGAAAACCCAGACCTCCTTTCCGAACCAGAAAGAAAGATTCCAGCTAAGGGCACAGAAGCCGGCAGCCTATGGGGACACCATGGTGCCCAGGGACCCGAGCTCCCGACCGCTGAGCCTGGACTGCTGCATCATCTCCCATGGGGGTACAAGACGCTAACACACACACTCACCCACATGCAGGGCAATGGAGAGTCCGATGGCTGACCACAGCGAGTAGCGTCCTCCTACCCACTAGGAGAGAAGGAAAAGGTGCTGAGGAAGGGCAGGCAGGTCCGCCCCCCTCCCTCCTACCAAGACACTTGTTTCTGGAAAGCGCTGCTGTTCTCAGGTGCAGCTTGCAGAGCCTGGGTCCAACCCACCTTGGGGAAGCAAGACAGCAGGCCAGGTGCTAGCGACGCTTTAGGCTGAACAGAAGGCAGAATACACGAGGAACTGACCAAGCACAGACTCAGCTGAAAATATCACCACAATCTTCCTTGAAAGGACTGGCCCTGTATCCTGGAACATGGCAGACCCAGAAACTCATACCTGTGGCAGGTCCCACTTCCTCAGAAACAGACAGACCCAGGGCCTCATACCTGAGACAAGATAATGTCCAGCAGACACTGACACCCAGACCATCATACCTGTGCCAGGTCCCGCCATCTCAGACACTAGGACCCAGAACCTCATACTTGGGACAGGATCCACCTCCTCAGACATTGAGACCCAGAGCCTCATACCTGCGACAGGTCCACCTTTTCAGACACTGAGACCCAGAGCCTCATATCCGCGACAGGTACCACCACCTCAGACACTGAGACCCAGAACTTCATACCTTTGACAGGTCCCACATTCTCAGACACTTGGATCTAAAGCCTCATACCTGTGACATGTCCCATCTCCTCAGACACTGAAAGACCAAGATCCTCATACCTGTGACAGGTCCCACCCTCTCAGACACTAAGATGCAGAGACTCATACCTGTGACAGGTTCCACCTCTTCAGACACTGAGACCCAGAGCCCCATGCCTGTGACAGGTCTCACTTTCTCAAACACTGATATGCAGAGCCTCATACATGTGACAGGTCCCACCTTCTCAGACACTGAGACGCAGAGCCTCATACCTGTGACAGATCCCACCTTCTCAGACACTGAGACACAGAGCCTCATACCTGTGACAGATCCCACCTTCTCAGACACTGAGACGTAGAGCCTCATACTTGTGACAGGTCACACCTCCTCACACATTGAGACCCAGAGCCTCATACCTGTGACAGGTCCACCTTTTCAGACACCGAGACGCAGAGACTCATACCTGTGACAGGTCCCACCTCCTAAGACACTGAGACCCAGAGCCTCATACCTGTGGCAGGTTCCACCACCTCAGACACTGGGATCAAAAGTCTCAGACCTGTGACAGGTCCCATATCTCAGACACTGAGACCCAGAGCCTCATACCTGTGACAGGTCCCATCTCCTAAGACACTGAGACCCAGAGACTCATACCTGTGACAGGTCCCACATCTCAGACACTGAGACGCAGAGCCTCATACCTGTGAAAGGTCCCATACCTCCTCAGATACTGAGACGCGGAGCCTCATACCTGTGACAGGTCTCACCTCCTCAGACACTGAGACGCAGAGCCTCATACCTGTGACAGGTGCCACCTCCTCAGACACTGAGATGCAGAGCCTCATACCTGTGACAGGTCCCACCTTCTCAGACACTGAGACGCAGAGCCTCATACCTGTGACAGGTCTCGCCTCCTCAGATACTGAGACGCAGAGCCTCATACCTGTGACAGGTCCCACCTCCTAAGACAGAGACTCAGAGCCTCATACCTGCGAGAGGTCCCACCTCCTCAGATACTGAGATGCAGAGCCTCATACCTGTGACAGGTCTCACCTCCTCAGACACTGAGACGCAGAGCCTCATACCTGCGACAGGTCCCACCTCCTCAGATACTGAGACGCAGAGCCTCATACCTGTGACAGGTCTCACCTCCTCAGACACTGAGACCCACAGCCTCATACCTGTGACAGGTCCCACCTTCTCAGATACTGAGACACAGAGACTCATACCTGTGACAAGTCCCACCTTCTCAGACACTGAGATGCAGAGCCTCATACTTGTGACAGGTCACACACCTCCTAAGACACTGAGACCCAGAGCCTCATACCTGTGACAGGTCCATTTCCAGACACTGAGATGCAGAGCCTCATACCTGTGACAGGTCCCACCTCCTCAGATACTGAGATGCAGAGCCTCATACCTGTGACAGGTCCCACCTCCTAAGACACTGAGACCCAGAGCCCCATACCTGTGACAGGTCCAACCTCCTCAGATACTGAGACGCAGAGACTCATACCTGTGACAGGTCTCACCTCCTCAGACACTGAGATGCAGAACCTCATACCTGTGATTGGTCACACACCTCCTAAGACACTGAAACCCACAGCCTCATACCTGCAACAAGTCCCACCTTCTCAGACACTGAGACGCAGAGCCTCATACCTGTGACAGGTCCCACCTCCTAAGACACTGAGACGCAGAGTCTCACAGCTGTGACAGGTGCCACCTCCTCAGACACTGGGACCAAAAGTCTCATACCTGTGACAGGTCCCACCTCCTCAGATACTGAGACGCAGAGATTCATACCTATGACAGATCCTACCTCCTCAAACACTGGAACCAAAAGCCTCATACCTGTGACAGGTTCCACCCTCCACAGATACTGTCAGAGCCTCACAGCTGTGCTAGGTCTCACCTCCTCAGATATTGAGACCCAGATTCTCATACCTGTGACAGGTCCCACCTCCTCAGACACTGAGACCCAGAGTCTCATAGCTGTGACAGGTACCACCTCCTCAGGCACTGAGAACAAGAACCTCATACCAGTGACAGGTCCTACCTCTCAGACACTGAGACCCAGAACCCCATACCTGTGACAGGTCTCACCTCAGACACAGTTCCAGAGCCTCATACCTGCTACAGGTCTCACCTCTCAGATACCGAGATCCAGAGCCTCATACCTGCGACTGGTCCCACCTCCTCAGACACTAAGACTCAGAGCCCCATAACTGTGACAGGTCCCACCTCCTCAGACACTGGGACCAAAAGCCTCATACTTATGACAGGTCCCACCTTCTCCGACACTGAAACCCAGAGCCCCATACCTGTGACAGGTCCCACCTCCTTAGATATTGGTGACCGAAAGCCTCATACCTTTGACAGGTCCCACCTCCTCAGACACTGAGAGACTGAGATCCTCATACCTGTGACAGGTCTCACCTCCTCAGATATTGAGACCCAGATTCTCATACCTTTGACAGGTTCCACCTCCTAAGACACTGAGACCCAGAGCCTCATACCTGCGACAGGTCCCACCTCCTCAGACACAAAGTCGCAGAGACTCATACCTGTGACAGGTTTCACCTCCTCAGACACTGAGACCCAGAAGCCTCATACCTGTGACAGGTCCCACCTCCTCAGACATTGAGACCCAGAACCTCATACCTGTGACAGGTCCCACCTCCTCAGACACTGAGACCCAGAACCTCATACCTGCAACAGGTCTCACCTCCTCAGACACTGAGACCCAGAGCCTCATACCTGTGACAGGTCCCACCTCCTCAGACATTGAGACCCAGAACCTCATACCTGTGACAGGTCCCACCTCCTCAGACACTGAGACCCAGAACCTCATACCTGCAACAGGTCTCACCTCCTCAGACACTGAGACCCAGAGCCTCATACCTGTGACAGGTCCCACCTCCTAAGACACTGAGATGCAGAGCCTCATACCTGTGACAGGTGCCACCTCCTCAGACACTGGGATCAAAAGCCTCATACCTGTGACTGGTCCCACCTCCTCAGACAGACAGACCCAGAGCCTCACACCTGTGACAGGTCCCAGCTACTCAGACACTGAGACCCAGAGCCTCATACCTGTGATAGGTTCCACCTCCACAGACATTTGGATCTAAAGCCTCTTACCTGTGACATGTCCCACCTCCTCAGACACTGAGAGACCGAGATCCTCATACCTGTGACAGGTCTCACCTCCTCAGACACTAAGACCCAGAGTCTCATACCTGTGACAGGTCCCACCTCCTCAGACACTGAGACCGAGATCCTCATCTGTGACAGGTCCATCCTCCTCAGACACTGAGAGACCAAGATCCTCATACCTGTGACAGGTCTCACCTCCTCAGACACTGAGACTCAGAGCCTCATACCTGTGACAGGTCCCACCTCCTCAGACACTGAGAGACCAAGATCCTCATACCTGTGACAGGTCCCACCTTGGATCTAAAGCCACATACATGTGACAGGTCTCACCTCCTCAGACACGGAGACCCAGAGCCTCATACCTGTGACAGGTCCCACCTCCTCAGACACTGAGAGACCAAAATCCTCATGCCTGTGACAGCTCCCACCTCCTCTTGACACTGAGAGACCGAAATCCTCCTTCCTGTGACAGCTCCCACCTCCTCAGCCACTGAGAGGCTGAGATCCTCATCCCTGTGACAGTTCCACCTCTTCAGACACTAACAGACCCAGAGCCTCATACCTGTGCCAGCACACATCTTTTCAGACTGACATCTCATAGCTGTGCCTAGGTACACTTCCTTGGACAAAGAAAAACTCCATACATCACACCTATGCCTGGGCCTGCCGCCTGACCGAGACAAGCCTATCGCCTCCTACCTGGTTTCGGTGGCCCTCCTCAGATGCTGAAAGACCCACAGCTTCATCCAACGGCCCCTCATCTTGAAGGCTGATCTAGAACCTCCTACTGTCCCAGGCCTCACCTCCTCAGATTAAGAGGCCCAAAGCCACCACCCTGTGCCAGACACTCTAGGATAATGAAAGAGCCAGCACCTCCTACCTGTGTCTGTTCTTCAGACACTGAGAGACCCCAAGCCTCTTACCAGTGTCTGGTCATGCCCCTTCAGACAATTCCAGTGTCTCATACCTGTGTCCATTCCCAACTCCTCAGGGACGAGTTACACTGACAGGCCCAGAACCTCACACCTGTGTCTCACCCTACCTCCTGGGACACTGACAAGCCCAGCAGCTCATACCTGGGCTCAACCCATCTTTTCAGCCCCAGTCTCAAGACACACCTAAGCCACCATTCATACCATGCCTCTTCATGTCACATTTGCAGACTCTACTTTGTGTCATCGGAATTCTCAGAACTTCATGCATATCTTCCTAATACCTGTTTATGGAGCACCTGCCA